ATAATAATAAATAATAATGGTGTTAATTAAAGATTTATAGAGGATAAGTACGAAAATATAATAATGTTAAATGAAGAACTTGGGTGGTAGAAGATAAGAAAGTGGGAAGTGATTGGATGTACGTCTCAATTGCGTAATGCATTGTATTGACTCAAAATTGTCCCCACTTGCCCCTCGACATTGATGAGACTACCAACCTTCGAAGATTTTTTATATTCAATTTTTCACTGTTCTACGTCATTCATGTCCATATAATATATTCCTATCACTTATACTTTCGTATTATTTATCAATTAACGTTAATTATAGTTTAAATATTTATTTTTTTAATTATTTGCTGAGACGTAACTGTAACTGTAATGAATAAAATTATAAAAGGAACCGTATTTATAATACTTAATTTTAACAATATCATTTCACGAATTTAAGACTACAACAAATTATCGTAGATTTGATAATAAAATATTCGATAATTTTTTTAGAAATAACGAAATAATTTTTTTAAGCTCGGTTCATTTCTAAAGAAAATTTTGTTTACACAAATAGATTAAAATTAAAATTTTCATTTATATAAATTGTTAAAAAAGAAAATACGAGTATGTAAAGACCGGAAAGAAGTCAACTCTAGGAGAGAACACGTGACAACAGATAATGAAATTGGATATTTAAAATAAAATAATTTTAACATAAGAACTCTGGACTCAAGATCACTCCATTATCTGAGGAAAACCTTGTCACTCTCAAAAGCTCTTTCTCCCTTCTCTACCTTCTCTCTTCAATCTATTCTCACTGAGCCATCAGATTGTTGGTCAGGTGGTGTTTGAGCATTCCCAGCGTAGATGACTCCATTTTGAACTGATCACTTTCTTCTTTCTCACCGGTAAGTAGTTCTTCCTTTCTCCTCCGTTGCTTTGGAACCTAGGGCATGCGACTCTACCGGTTGCATATAACTAGAAACGTTTTTCTTCAAATCTTTGTCAAATTCTAGCTCTAAGAGTTGTTTTCTGCCATCAATGTGGTGGTTTGTAGGGTTTGCTTGAGTCCTTGCTGTGTGAGGAACTGTAGAGAAGTGTTCTTGTGAGCTGGGCAGTTCAACTCTGAGGTAAGGGGAACTAGTTGTTTGTTTGAATATGTTTTATAAGTATGCATGCATATTGAATGTTGAACTGGTGTGCTATTTTGGACTGCATTTTGGTTTTAATCATATTGGATGTTATGGATTGAAACGTGCAGTTGATGAAACTATAATGGCTTGCTTGTGAATTGAATTGGATGAACTTAGTTACTGTAAATTGAACAAGTAGGAAGTGTTTGGGGGTAAGATTTCTGTTGTAGTATTAATTAGATGGACAATTTAGCAATTAGGAAGTATTTTAGGTCATTTGAGAGAAAGTGGGATAGTGATTCTGAGCATATGAGGTCTAGAGTGTTTTTGGAGGGTTAGAACAGCTTAGATAGGCCAAATGGGACTTGCTGGGAACATAAAATTGGTATGGAATATGTTAAAAATGGTAGAATTGGATTTAAACCTCTAAGTTAAGGAAATTAGTGTTTTAAGAAGGAAATTTGGGTCTTAATCACTTAATAATCACAGTATGAATGTGTAAAACCAATTAGATAAGTTAATTAGGTTTATATCATCAATTATAGGTCTTAGAAGTTGGGAAAGATCATTGGAAATGGTAAAAGGGTGTGAGCGTGCATAATTCTGCAGAACTAGCATTCTGCCAAGTATGCAGACTCGCTATGCGAACGGTTTAGCATAGCGAGTCCCTGCAAGGGGTGCTCTCTGCCAGGGTCATTCGCTGTGCGAGCTGGTACGCTTCGCGAATGACCAGAGAGTGTTGCTTTTTGCCTGGTGGATTCACCTAGCGAATCCTTTCGCTATGCGACTGATGGTGGCCTGGAGTCACTACCATTTTAATTAGAAAAGCAAATGGGGCGCAAGGCGAGAAGGTTTGGGGGGTTGGTCTCTGTCTAGACTCTCGTTGTGTGACTTGGTAGCGTTATGCGAGAGACCTAATGTCTGTCACCTATGCGAAGTAATTCGTAAGGCGAGTGTGGTGCGTTATGCGAGCCACTCTGGTTTCGCCATGTGAGTAGTGTGCGCTGTGCGAGAAGCCCTGAGTTTAGTTGTTTAATTTCCTTTGATTTATGATTGATTAAGTGGTTTGCTGCACTGTTTGTGAAGCATGTTTTAATATCTATGGCCTTATCTAAAGGAGCTTAAACCTGTATGTTGATTCTAATTAAAAATATATGAGTTGAAAAGGAAAGTGGTATGATCTCAAGGTTGCAAGTATAAGTTTCAAAGTTTAGAATCTCTTGGTGAGATTCTTAGTTGTTTAGAATGAGAGTAGGAGCTCAGTCTTGGAGGTCATCCTAAAACTCCAATAAGCAATCATTCTCAAATAGAGAGGATTGAACCATGTCATGAGGAGTAGTAGGAGGTCTTAGTCTTGGGGACTTCTAGTATGACTCAAGGCCAGGAACAGGCTAACCTCGTGAGTGTGATAGGGTGAAACCCATTGAAAATGGATTTAAAAAGAAGTAGAGGCCAACACGAGTGCACGAACCGCCATAGCTCGACTATCATTCTAAGTCAAGAAGAGTCAAGTCTAGTACACAACATGTTAAGATGTATGATTTAGCTTGCTTTGATTGAAATTGAATCTGGTATGTTACACACTGTTATATTATATGTTTTTGTTTACTAGCTCACTCTTCTACTTGTTGCTGTGTCTACTTTGTGTGGTGTTTTCTTTTGCAATGATCATCCACTCGGATGTGAGCAGAGTTAGATGAAGTGCTTCTGGAGTAGGCCTTGGAGGGAGAGGACATTGTTGCTTAGTGTAGTTAGGATGCATATCTACTTTCGTATATTTTGAAATACTCTTTATACTTAAAGATTTAAATTTTAACCATTTTAGATAATTGTAAGTTAAATACTTTATTTTATAGGTTTTTAACTATTTTATAATATTATATCTGATGACGTTTATATTATATATTTACCTTATAATGTTACAGAGTAAATATGATATTTTTTTTATTATCCTATAAAAGACATGATTTGTAGGAATGTTGGAACAATTATCATATTTATGCTTGTCAAAATTCATAATTCTTAATATGCATATTTTATTAGATTCTAATTTGTTATCCAGATATTTTCATAATTAATTTTAATTATATTTCTTATAATAATAATAATAATAATACAATTAATTTTAATTTTTACAATCATATATAATTTTATATAATATTAATTTTTATCAATTAAATTACTTTTTTATTTATTATAATAATTAAATTCTATACTAATTTTTATAATTTCACTTCTAAATCAACTTTCACTCATGTTGATATGCTTTAAAAAATTAATCAATTCACTCTCAATTTTTTTTTTAATTCTTTAAAAAACATCTTTTAAGTTTGATTCTAGAAAACACTTAACAAGTGCATGTTTTAATTATATAAGTAACACCCATCCGATCTGAATATATGTCGGTGCTGTTTATGCTTCTTTTACTGTAAAATAATTAAATAATGGCGTTCCGTTTTAATTTAACCACCGAACAATTAATATTTAATTTTTTAAACGTACTATTTAAACATCAGTAGCATTAATACTTCCACACGCAAAAAAAACTATCACATTATTATAGATTACAATTCTTAATTTTAGAAACAATACGATTTATATATTTATTAAATTTTCATATACTTTTATACTTTCTTCGGAGTCATTTTGATGTTGGTGTGGAGTATTCATTATTTTCTAAATATTATTAATATGTGTTGAAAAATATATTGGCAAAACTATTAGTCAAAATTTGGTTCCTAAATTATAACAATGTTTTTTTAACTAACAATATTTTAGTTAAAAAATTTGAACAGAAATTCTATGTAAACCAATAACGTGACGGTAGCTATGCAGCCATTTTAAAATACGTTGGAAAAGTTTGAAATAGAGTTGAAATTAAACTTTTTAACTAGTAAATCGTAATATCATTTTTAAATTTTAGTACAATATTAATTATCAATTTATCGTTATAAATTATATAATAATAAGTTATAAAGAGTCTATAATATATTTTTTAATTCTCTATGATTCACATTATCTGCAAACTTAACCTCATATGCTATACAAAATAAGGGCACCGTTAAATAATAAAAAAAGACCTTTTATTTTAAATTATACGATAATGTATTAAAATAAAAATACTTTATGTATTTTATTTTTTGCTTATAATTTATTAACCTGTGATCTTGATTAATATTTTTTCAAATAAAAATAGTAAAGTACTTTGAATAGACAAATGTTTGATGCCTAACAAAACAACACTAAAAAGTCAATCAAATACACATTTTAGCTTGCTTAGGAAATTTGACGGTGAGAGAAATTTAGGTTAGGGAAAAATATATAAATAGACAAAATTTCTAGAGAGAAGGATTTGGCAATAAACATTTCAAAAATAAAACAATAAATGCAAAACACGTTTTATAACTAAACACTTTAGAAATTAATGTACACCATAAATACTGTGTATTATGATCACGTTAATTAATTAATAATCTTTGAGTTCCAGATAATAGAGATATTATTGATTTTTTTTCTGAATTAATTATATTTCTGGATAGTCCTACTGGATTGACGCAAAACTAAAATAACGTGTGTAGGAAAAATAAAAAGTGAGAGGAATAAAAGAAAATGAAAATTAAGTCCAGATTTTATTGTGATAAATATAGAGTTTTGACGGTATTTATGGCGTGGATAACACAATAGCCGTCTAGATTCAATGGGGCCCGCATCAAGCCAAATTGGGCATGACAGAAATAAATATCTTCTTTTGCAACAATCTCTCTCTGTTTTACCTTAAATCAATCTCTCACTACATTAAAAAACACAAATTAATCTCAAACACACCTTGCCATTACCATAATCTTCTGAGAACACAACCGTCATTTCACCTTTCTCTTCCATAGCTTCTGAGCCATTCCTCTCACATAAACAAACTCAGAGGGTAGTTTCTGCGAAAATCTTCTTCCAAGAACAACAGCTCGCTTTATCTCTCTCTCTCCGTCTCTCTCTCCTGCTTCCATTTCCAAACGTATTTGACTCTCTCACCTTCAATCCCAGGGTTATCTCTTGTAAATTCTTATCTATTTAGGGTTCTTTTCTCCACCCTTCCCGTAGAAAAGTTCTGTATATAACCAACACCCATCCCAATACAAAGAAAAGTTTTTAAATTCCTGAATTCTTCAATCGAGCAATTTCCATTTGCAATTCTTTTTTTCCCCACTCTGTACAGACATAGGGAAAGCTATTTCCTCTGTATGAGTCTTGGGTTCTTTCTTTTCTGAAATTGGCATCCCCAGAAAATTCTAATTATCCTCATATTCTTTTCTTCTTAGATTTCCCAAAGGGTACTTAAAAAATTGTGACTTTACCATTTGTTTCCGTGCTTGGGATTGAATTTCTGAAAACCCTAATTGTGATTTCCTAACCTCTTTTTCATGGCGGTTTCAACTATAGCCTTGTACGCGAGTCCGCCGAGCAGCGTGTGTTCCACGCCTCACCCTTGCCAGATCAACGCTCACGCTTCCTACGACTTCGAATTGGGGTCGCGATCTTCGTCGCCGGCGGCTTCGACGGCTCCTCCGTCGACGTCGCAGAAGCCTGTGATGGGCGGACTTTCGTGCCTGTTCTCGTCTCCGGCGGCGGCGATGAAACACGCGGCGTTGTCGTCGAACTTTACCGGTGAGGAGGACGATTTGAAGGAGTTGGGCAGTTCCTTCTCGTATTCTCCAAGCAAGTTTGGTGGGTCTTCTTGGAAGAGGGATCAGAGTCCCGTGTCTGTTTTTCATGGTCCTGTTTCGTGTAGTGGTAGCAGCAGAAGCCCCATTAGTTCTACCTCCGTGAGAAGTATCAGGGGTGGGACTAGTGGGTTGTTTCATGGGTTCGTGAGGAATGCGTTGGGGTCTTGTTTGGATTATGACTTAGATGCGGGTGATTCATCTGCCGCGCTTGTGGATGAGTTGACCTTCAATTTAGAGGATAATTTGGTGGAGGGTGGGTTTCATTTTGAGCCCTATGCTAGAAAGTTGCTGCTGGGGGCGCAGTTGAGACACAAGATCTTCTGCGAGGAGTTTGTCATCAAGGCCTTTTGTGAAGCTGAGAAGGCACACAGAGGGCAGGTACACGGAATTATGGAATGGAGCTTTATTTTGTGTGTTTTGGAGTTGGAAGGTGTGTAAGTGGTTTTGGACTTTTGGTGAATTGATTTTTTGTCTGTGTTTTTTTTAGATGCGGGCTAGTGGGGATCCTTACTTGCAGCATTGTTTGGAGACCGCCGTGTTGCTGGCTTTGATTGGTGCCAATTCCACCGTTGTGGCTGCGGGGCTCTTACATGACACGCTGGATGATGCTTTTCTGACTTACGATTATATATGTGGAGCATTTGGCGCTGGAGTTGCTGATTTAGTCGAAGGGGTGAGGAACTAGTCTCTTGTCGATTGATGAATGCATGTGGTTTAGGATTTTGGGAATTGATGCTTGTGATCTGCAAGATCATTTTAATCAGCACGTAATATTTAAGATATTAATAAACTTTACACATCAGATCTAGTGTTAGATTCTATGGCCTAGTGTATCATAGGACTTTTTCACAGTTTAATGAACCTTGATCTTGGAGCAAAACATAGTCGTGTTTAGTATACAGATCACGAATGGCAGGTTTGTCGTTCTGTAGGTTGGTGTCTTGTAAGTGGCAGTGTAATAACTTAATAACTGTCATTGTTGTGTTTTTGTTGCTGAAATTTTATTTTCAACTTTATAGGAATGAATTGCCATATTACCCATTCGATGCCCTGGATTCGTGTAATATAGACATATCTGATTTTTTTTTAATGGTTTTGTCTTCAAGATTCTAACTAATTGTTATGGCATTTTAGGTATCTAAACTGAGCCACTTAAGCAAACTGGCTCGAGAAAATAATACAGCTTGCAAGTCAGTTGAAGCGGACCGCTTGCACACTATGTTCCTTGCCATGGCAGATGCAAGAGCTGTCCTCATTAAACTGGCAGATCGGTTGCATAATATGATGACACTAGATGCATTGCCTGTGACCAAGCGGCAGAGGTTTGCAAAGGAGACTTTGGAGATTTTTGCACCATTGGCCAATCGCTTAGGAATCTCTAGCTGGAAAGAACAATTGGAGAATTTGTGTTTTAAGCATCTCAACCCAAGCCAGCACGAGGAGCTTTCTTCAAAGCTTGTGGAGTCGTACGATGATGCAATGATTACTTGTGCGATAGAGAGATTAGAGCAAGCCCTTAAAGATGAAGGCATATCTTATAATGTCATTTCTGGGCGGCACAAGAGCTTGTATAGCGTTTACTGCAAAATGTTGAAGTATGCTTTACCATCCCTTACTTTTTATATAGTTTCTGAATTTTAAATTCTGTTTTTTTTTTTTTTTCCTGAAATGCAAATACAGTACTAGAAATTTCTTTGTGGGTAGGGGGAGGTAAGATTCCTTGAAGAGTATTATTTACACAAAAAATGGGTGTCATATCAAAGGCAGTTGCTCTTACTGCAAACACACGAAAACATCAGAATGGATGTTGAGTTGTTTACGGGGCATCAACAATGTTGCTATTTTTATGGTGATATTGCTGTGAAAATACTGATGAAGTATCATTGTATAAAACTACTAAGACACAAAGTGTTTTGCCTGACATGGATTGTACTGTTTGTAGTACACTTCAATTTCTCACAATTCCTTCTTTGTCGGTGTAGGAAGAAACTTACCATTGATGATATCCATGACATTTATGGACTGCGCTTGATTGTTGACAAAGAAGAAGACTGTTATAAAGCCTTAACAACTGTCCATCGGTTATGGTCTGAGGTGCCTGGAAAGCTGAAAGATTACATATGTCGCCCCAAGTTCAATGGGTATGTTGTGGTTCTGTAGTTGGGATGTATATTTTCAGTTTACAATCTCATATAGTCTGATTTTGGTTTTATAATTCACAGATACCAATCTCTGCATACTGTGGTGATGGGTGAAGGCAACGTTCCCCTGGAAGTGCAAATTCGAACAAAAGATATGCACTTGCAAGCAGAATTTGGATTTGCAGCTCACTGGAGATACAAAGAAGATGATTGCCAGCATTCGTCATTTGTGCTTCAGATGGTGGAGTGGGCTCGGTGGGTTGTTACCTGGCAGTGCGAAGCAATGAGTGGAGACTGTTCATCTGTTAGATATGCTGATTCAGTGAAGCCTCCATGCAAGTTCCCTTCCCATGCTGCCGATTGCCCATATTCCTATAGGCCCGATTGTGGTCAGAACGGGCCCGTGTTCGTCATCATGATCGAGAATGACAAGGTTTGTGGTCGTAATTTATGTAATACTCAATTTTGTGCAACCAAAGTTGGATTTGTTGGATTGACTGTGTGTGTGTGCAGATGTCTGTTCAAGAATTCAGTGCAAACTCAACGATATTGGATTTGTTGGAGAGAGCTGGGCGTGCAAGCTCTAGGTTGACAACATATAGGTTCCCATTGAAGGAAGAGCTGAGGCCAAGGCTGAATCACAAGCCTGTGAGTGATCCGAAAAGCAAGTTGAAGATGGGAGATGTTATTGAACTTACACCAGCCATACCTGATAAGTATCTTACAGAATACAGGGAAGAAATCCAGCGTATGTATGATCGAGGGCTAACCGTATCAACCATGGGAACTTCTTCTTCAAGTACCATGGTTGGCTCAAGAAGTTGATCCCACCTTCGATTCCCTTTCTATTCATCAAACAAATTTAGTGACAGCTATGTATATATACAAATATTTGTACAGAACAACTGTGTCACTACCATGAACTTGCTAACTCCATTCAATTATGTGCTCAAATGATTTATTTTATGTTCTTGCTCCTCCTGCATTTATTACATCCCTCCTATTTCGATTATAGACTTCTGGTTTTATTTAGTCATCATGAACTCATCTACAAAATGTCAGGCGTTTCTTCCAAGCAACTTGTTAGCAAGAACGAAATAAATCTTCCAGATTTTTTAGACCAGTGTGTTGACCTTCGAAATGGGAATTGCAGTTTAAGATCTGTTGATTGAAAGATTTAACTTTGACGGTAACTCAGTCTACGAAAAATTTACCATTTAGACCAAAGACAATGAAAAAGTGGACGAAGATTAATTCTTGTATATTATTATTGTGTTTACTGATCAGGACACCGATAAATCAGTTTTCTTGAAATTTTCTTTCAACTTTTTGTTTTCATTATTATTTATTATAGGAATATAAAAATGCATTATTTATATTTTTTTTCTTGTCCTTTATTATTGGATTTCTTTGATGGTGAACAAGTCAACTAGAAAAGATACCACGTTGTAAATAGCGTACTGAGAGCGGCATGTACAGTAACAGATGCTTTTTAGCATGTATAAATGTCGTATTCGATTTAAATTCTACTGTAATTTTCACAATTTAAGTTTTGTTGAATCTTTCAAGTTATGTTGTTGAAATTGAACTATTTTTTGGTAACATTTCAAAAGGCTCAAAAACACGTCATAATTTATTGATTAGGGATTAAGTAAATTGGAACCTCTAAAATATGTGATTTGGGATATAAAATTTTGTCACGAATTTATTTTTAAAAATAAAAAAAAAATATTTAAATTGTTTTTTCCTTTAATTTTTAAATGATATAAGATTAATAGATATGCCAAAATATTTATCAATTATAATAATTAATAGTTTATTTCGGAAACCTGTGTCCAATCAAGTGTGCCAAACTTTACATTATAAGGACAACTTTAACAGAAGAACAGCACTTTAAGATGTGCAACTAAATATCTAAGTCTTATCATAACATTAATCTTTTTGGCATTGGATTAATAGCACTAGGTCCAGCTATTGTTTTGGACAATGATAGGTCTGTGCATGCTTTAATTTTATTTAGTAAATCAAATTAAAAGGTTATAATATTATATTCAAATATAATAAAAACAAAAAATAAGTAAAAATATTTATTTTTCAAAATTGTCTTGTTTTTTAAATCATTTTTAGAAGTATTACGTGTTAAAAAATAGTGTTATTTTCTCTTTAAGTGAAAGATAAACAATATAAAGAGCATCCGTTTTATTTATTTTTATTTCCATAATTTTAAGTAATGGTTTATGCATTTAAAAAAAATTAAATATACTTTTCATAATTAAAAACTCGTTAGGTTAGGTCAGATGTAAAAAGTAAAAGTAAACGAAGGTATAAAAACTAAAGACTTATGTAAGCTATAAAATAAATACAATAGCAGTGTTTTATGTTCAACGATATCATACACATACCTAAAAGACAAATTTAAAACATATTTAACCTAAATTTTTGAAACTATTTTTAACATAAAATTCAACATTTGTAATGAAAACATTATTGTTATTAAATGATTGGAAATAGAATTGTGTTGTGAATATTTTCCTCTATGACGAATGAGGTAAAGATTCCAAAGCTCTACAAAATGAAAAATAATCTAAACCTAACTCCACTTTGATAGTTGTTCCTTCCACAATCACTCAACGCTCCATACATCACCTCATATTTATTTTGTCTTTATTCTAAAACGGATATTAATATCCGTTTCAATTTCAACGGATGTTAAAATCTGTTTACATATTTTATATTTTAGTTTATTATTTTTATTTTAAAAAAAAAATCTTCAACGGATGTGGCACATCCATTTTAATAAATTTTTTAAAACTATTTTGATTATTATTTAAATAATAATACATAAATTAAATTAATAATAATTATTTTATTAAATAAAACAAAATTAATTTATAAATAATTAAGTAATAATTTAAAAAAATTAAATAATATTTATATATTAATTTAAAATATAACAAATTAAAAAACAAAAAACTAAAAAAAAAAAATATAAGGGATATAACCAAAAAATGTGTATACGTGGCAGCATAGGATAGGTTGGGCAAAATTAGTAAAGTAAAAAGACTTAATCTCCTAAAAAAATAAAAAGAAACCACTTCTAAATTGTGCTTCAGAAGAACGTTCCCCTCTTCTTTCTAGCACTCTCTCTTTTCTTCCTTGCCTTGCCACTCTCTCTGTTCCAACTCCAAAATCTAACCATTTGTTTCCCGAATTGAAGCTACCTAGACCTTCAGGACCCCAAGAGCTACGTTTCTACCTATTGATTTTCCGTTTTCTCCAACCGGTAAGAAAACCCCTTTCTCGTGTGCCCTAGGGTTGTAAGCATGCGATTGAACTTGTTGCATGCAACCCATTTCGTTTTCTTCCATAATCTAGCTTCTATTTGGTTCTAAGATTCATTTTCCATCATCAATTAATGATTTATAGGTGATTCTAACATTTTGGGAGTGCAAGCAAGTGGTCTAGGGTTCTTACTTGAGCTTGGTTGTCTACACTAGAGGTAAGGGAAGCTGGGGTTTTTGTGCTGTTCTGTGAAATTCTTGAATTTGCATGAGTTAGATTTAGTAGATGTAGTGATAGAGTGCATGTAAAGTTTATGAGTTGGATTTTAATTAAGGATAATCTGAAAACTTGTGATTTTGCCTATTTGATACAGGTTGATGTTGATATGAACTGTGAATTGGATGATTAGGAATTGGTATTGATACAATGCTGTGATAATTTTGAATGCTTAGAAGAAATGAATTCTGTTAAATAATTTATTAGGAAATAACCATGTGAATCATTGAAGTTTATAACCTATGAAGAGAACTAAGGTAGTCAAAATCTGAATTTTGTATTCCCGGCGGTTAGGATCAGTTTAGATAACTTGGGTAAGTTAATTGTGACTCATTAGGAGTGTTAAAAATGTTAAAAATAATTTATAAGTGGTAGATTCAGAATTGAGTACCTAGGTTGATGAAATTGAGGGTTTGGAGTTTAAATCAACATTAAATCACTAGATAATAAGATTAGGAAGTATTAGAATCAGTTATACAAGTTTATTTCGTCATATAGATCAAGTTTGGAGTGTTAGAAACCAATTAAAGTGTCTAAGATGCACCAAAACCAGAAAAATCACGTTGCTGTCAAAAATTGATAAGAATAATCGATTATCTCACTTAATAATCGATTATTTTAGTCAGAGAGTTGTATCCTCTTCAAAGCTCTCGCAAATAATTGATTATCACATATGATAATCGATTATTGTCGTCGAAAAATCATTTAGGACAGTTTTGGGTGGTTTTCGGGGTTTCGGATGTCCGTTTTGGACGTTCTTTAGGTCGTTCTGGGGGTTTTGATCCTTCTGGAGTCATTGGTGAGGGCCTCCAAGCTGTTTGAATTACTTAAGTATTGAAAATTAAAAGTCCTAAAGAAATTTGTGTTAATAAGTGATGATTTTGTGAAAGTATGTAATGTATGAGTTGTTTTTATAACATGGTTGATGTTGTATGATGGTGTATGAGTTTGGTATGAGACAATATAGTAAGAATGCACTTGAATGACTATGAAAGTTTATGTTTGATGAATCAAAGTGGTTTATGAGGTACATTATTGATCCAAGAGGAATATCATGTGATTTAAAGTGGTCGGATTGAATATGAAATTAAGATCTCTCGGTGGGATCAGTTAGTGTATTGAATGAATGTGAGAGGCTTCCATATGGGGGGTTATCCCTAACACTCCAACGGTCTTTCATTCTCACTTAGAGAGGATTGACGCGTGTGGTGGGAGTAGTGGGAGGTCCTAGGGTAGGCGCTATCACTGAAGGTCTATTCCGCGGTAACGATTAGTCTTGTGTCGGTCGGGTGAAACCCCTCGGCAATGGCTTTGCAAAGCAGTATGGGCCATCACAAGTGCACAACCCGCCCTAGCTCTACATACATTCTATGTCCGGACGTGTCTAGTGAGTCTTAACATGATGGGATGCTTGCTTTAATGAGTTTTGTGAAATAAATATTTATGTTTATGATGACTTACATGTTTATGTGTGTATGGACGTTCTTGGAAATGCTAGATTGAATTGAAATTATCTGTATGTTTGGTTGAGACCTAGCTCACCCTTGCATTGTATGTGTTTGTCTTCTCCCTTGCGATGATCATCCAATCCTTTGGATGTGAGCAGTAGGCGATGATGTACCCTTGGAGCAAGCTTTGGAGGTTGAAGAAGACCACTCCCTAGTACTTAGGCTCTCTACTAGCTCTTAGTTGATTAAGCTGTTGTTATTTTAAAAACTCCAGCTTTTATTTATAATAGTTCGACACTTTTGGAAAACTTTTTAGGTCTCTTTAAAATTTCAATAGCCTTGTATTTTGGAGAACTTTGGAAACTTGTACTCAAGTTTGATTTTCGTTTTAATTCCCTCTATCTTTTGGATGACTGTATACATATTTAAATACTATTATCTCTATCTCTCAACTGCTTTTACATATTATAATAGCTGAATCCTATTATATTATATGTGTATATGATATTTTGGGATGTCACAGCGCCACATCCGTTTTAATAAATTTTTTTCAAAATATTTTTATTATTATTTAAATAATAATACATAAATTAAATTAATAATAATTATTTTATTAAATAAAATAAAATAAATTTATAAATAATTAAGTAATAATTTTTAAAAAAATTAAATAATATTTATATATTAATTTAAAATATAATAAATTAGAAACAAAAAAAACTATAACGCATGTGACACATTCATTTTAATAAATTTTTTAAAAATATTTTAATTATTATTTAAATAATAATACATAAATTAAATTAATAATAATTATTTTATTAAATTAAATTAAATTAATTTATAAATAA